CAGCTGTTTTCAAAGGTTGAGATTAGACGTGATTTATTACTGGTTACGTGATTGGTTCTTGACACATTCTGAACAGGGCACACCTCCAACTTGTGACAGTACATTGTCATTTAAAAACGTCGCCTTGTGCATCTATGATCGAAAAGAGCATCCATAAAAAATCGCCCAATTTAACATTAATAAAATGACAAATATCAAATCAGCCGACCAATTTTTAATAATATGTTTCGATCATAAACTGTCAAAATCGAAGACAATATTGGTTTAGCGCCGAGAATAAGGGTAATTTCATTTCAATCATCTCAAAAGTCAAACACGAAGAATATCTGGGTAAAGATGTGAAAAGTTGTTGCAAAAATGAGTCACTGCAGATAAAATAGATTAATTAAGGAACTATTCACCGGCTAAAATATGACCTTATACAGATATCCTGATTAAAAAATTAAACGAAAAAGCTCGAATTTGTGAATAAACAGCTAAGTTGTAAAAAACTAATAGCATCGACGATGTCAAAAATAGTGACCGACTGTGACAATGCCATATCCGCAACGCGTCATTGCCAGGGAAAGAGGCCAATTCACACCTAATACAATGACCGTTTCCAGACCGGAGATAGAGGGACTTTGGGGCTAGGTTCTTACCCTATATAAGCATTATTATGGCCTTGAATTTATTCCATTACCCAATTTCCAGTTAGTTGCCATCTAGGTGGCTTTCTAACCCTGGAAGACCGACGTGGCTTAATAAAATCAACTGGTTCTTCATTATTGTCACGTCTTTCCGGTGAGGATTAAGATAAGGTTAAGGCTTGAGATAAGGTTGGGGGTAACCATATTAGTAGGCACGGATGTAATCTCAGTATTCCAATCTGAGTTTTCAACTTCGTTTAGGCCTGAAGGGCTGCAGGCTTAATTTGATAGCAATCATTAAGTCTAACATCATATATATATCTGACAGTGGTCATCAGACAGACCAACAACCGAGTAACTGTTTCTGACAAAAGTTTTATTTTTATCACCATACAGGTATACCAGGTCTCCAAGACATATATTTCCTGCAATAGATTTGGACTTGCACTTTCGATTTCGATTTCGAACTAGGATCATGGCTAAATATGTGAATGTTGTTGTATTATTTGTCGGCCATCTATAGGTAACTGTGTCAGCATCCTTTATTTTATATTTTTGTCATATTACCTCAAACCCTGAAAATAGAAGTGTGCATGGAATCACAGGAAGAAGCAGTGTGCATTGCCATGTGATTACTGTCATAATGGTGATTGACAGGTCATACTTATTTTCAACTCTGGAAGGACAGTTGGAATTTACCAGGTGTGCTTGTGATTTACATAATAAAGGGTGTTTAAAACTTTGGAAGAAGAATTGGAATCTACCCTCCAGAATAACAGCGTTCCCCTGCAAGCAAGAATCCTGTATTTCTTTGTTGTTGTGTTGCAGAAGCCATTGACCGTCATCCATTATTGCGTCCTGGAACTGCGAGTTATCACCAATGCACACTTCCCTAAACAATCAATTGCATGTGCTGTGCTTTATTTCTTGTAATTATTTTGAGAGGTATTACAGCTAGAAGCTTCAACCTGATATTTTGGTATATGTGTATTTCATTTCCAACTATTGTCCTGTCTAACACATTCTAGCAGTGAAAGAACCCCCTGTCCAGTGTGAGTGCTGTGGGTGGCCCTCTCAATTGCGATAAGCAGGCCTAACACTGTGACAAACTGTTGACCAGTGAACTGGTCTCTTTGTTTCCATATCTCACGTGCCGATAAGTCTACTTTCCTTATTCTGGCATTTAGATTAGCGGTCAATATTGCTAAAGTAGTAGTGGATAAGGGACCTACCTCAGGGTTTACGTTGAGACATTCAAGGCCCAGATATAATTTGCCATTTTATTGAGAGAGTACAATGTGGCAGTAATTACTTTATTTTTCCCAGATGCATCTGTGATTATCGACAATTTTGTGGTGCATATTGAGCAGTTTTAAATAAGTCTTGATTTTGCTGATTGTTGTCCAGCTGTTGCCTTCTCCAAAAGATCAATAAGCATAACCTTCAAAGACACGACTTTGTATGCTCCAATAAATAATCTCAACCCTGAGACATTGTTCAACATGAACATATAAAACATGTAGGCATCAGTTGTGTAACAGTCAGCATTTTAACACAAAAACGGTTAAAGATAAATGCGTTAACCAAATGCAGAAGCAAGCAAAATAAAAATCTGACTACAAACATGTTTAAATCTAACTACAAAAAATTAGGAAGGGCCCCTCCAGTCACATAACAGAGTCAAGGTATTGGTCCACCAGTCTTGACCTTGATGGGTTTAGGTGTTCCTGCTGCGTAGCCTAGATAGATAGGAGGTGACAAAGAAGATGACCATCATACCATGAGCCCAAACCAAGGGATGCATAAAGTGGTGACCAAAGGGACCCATAATAATTGTGAGAATGAGGCTTGGCCAAGGGAACTGGTACGTTGGCGGTGGGAGCGGTAACTGGAGGACAGAGCTCTTTCAGTCCAGGTGGAAGTGTGGAATGGAGAAATGAGAAAAGAGAGGTAAGTCAGCCTGGAGTGCATCTTGGCGGTCCAGGTGGGAACAAAAAAGTGCTAGTTTAGCTCGGCTGAGGATGTAGCCAGTACATCGGCTCAGGAGAGAACACATGTAGAATATATTTAAAACTAAATCAATACCAATACCATAGGCCAATTTAGTGAAGCTGCAAATGAGGAAAGACAAACTGCTAAAGGAACGGAAATGAGAATTAAAGCTGAATGTACACTGTAGAATGCTAGGTGGTAAAGCAAGTGTGGTTGTTACATGGTAAGTGTTCTAAAAGCTGAGTGCAGCAACAGTTCAGGTGTTATGATGTATGTGTGATAACAGGTGATAGGTCATCTGCCCATTGTTTGAATAAGGTGGACTGTGAGATACACGCTTGCAGCGGTAGTGGTTTCCCCAAAGCGAAATGAATGTCCTGCAAAAATGTGAGCATGAACGTGGAGTCTAGCAAGAAGAAACTGAAGCGAGTTGCTGAATGCCGGCATGATTGAGTGGCATTTCTTCAGGAAGCATGCAAAGCTGCCTATATCTTATTGCAAACAAAATAGAGGTAACGTAGGGTAGAAACATGGCAAAGGATGTAGCCAGTTGGATAGAGTCGCTGATCAAATACGCAGCCGAACTGGATGGTCTTTTTAATGATTTGACGATCAACACAAGAGCATCCACTGCGCATGCGTTACCGGGTATCTTAATTTCTCTAATACATAGGCCGACTTGCGGGTTGAAAAATTGTGATAACGAGGTAAATTCACTACAGCATAGGAATCCAAAAAATTTCATCAGAAAAGCAGCTTCCAACAGTAGGTCAAAATAGGGCCCGTATATGCCTGAACAAATTAGCAACTTTTTCGTGTAACAGAATCTTGCAAATTGTGAATAGTCAACAGGACATAGTGGAGGCAAAGTAAATTCAGTCAATGACTAGTAACAAGTGGATTTGGGTGACCTCTGAATAGATTTATTGCGAATTCCTGCTAGGTAAACATTGATGGTGCTGAATGGGAGATACAATTATGTGGCAACATGGTTTCCTGAATGGCATATATCACAGACATGTGAATACTAGCAGCTGGATCTTTTGCAACCAGTGAAGGAATTAAAATTATTGCAAACTGTGTGGAATTCATGTACGACCATTTCTGGCATCGGTAGCATGCTGTACAGAGGAGCCCTGGCCTGGTCGTTTTGAATATGATGTACGCTACAGGCATATATCGGCGTTGCATCTTTCCTAATTCCCCGTCCATCAGTGTGGTCAAGCGTAAACGAGTATAAGGCTGTATGCAGTTGAGCATTTCTCCCCGGACAACGTCCCTTACCGCTTCATGGCAATGTAAACGTGTTGTTGAAAGCCAAACGCCGAGGGCAAGACGGACAGAAGTCTGATTGGGCCCAAGCGCAGGGCATTTTACAAAATCGGTTTTAGCAAGCCAAAATCACAAAATCATATTTTGGTAAAATATATTTTATCAACATCCCTAGCATAATATATTGTGATTGGATTTCGTGTTAGCAATATCAAACTATGATTTAATGACTTATTCTTCGTCAATATTACTCTGCGTAGCTGATGAACTTGAAGAAGATTTGATTACCATTTTCAGGATAATAATCATCAACTCCTAATTGAAAAAAAAACAATAGTAAGAATTCAACAAAACAATAAAATAGTAGCAGTATATAAGTATAGCTTCCTGAATTACCTTGAATCAAAGTATATATATATATAATTCATTATAAACATATAATAAAAGTGAGCGTGACAATTATTTGTATATAACGTAAGTGTAATGACAATAATTTATACACAATCTGTTTTTATGATATGCAAATAACATTTCAAATTTATCATATATTTGAACAAATAAGTTCAATAATTCTCTTCATTATATACAACAATTTCTACCACAATTGTATTATGTATATATTATGAAGAATTGTGTAATTATTACATATAATTTGATTATATCGTTAAATGCACAACCGGTACCCCATAGAAACCTTGGTATTGTATCAAACGTATTTAACATATGTTGTAACAAGTAGTTCCACATTGTTTGACAATATGAATACAAATTGCTGTTTATCTTATTTTTAATTGTGAGAAAAGATTGTTTTTATTCATCAGTTGTTTTTTAAGATGCTCGGCAAGATGTAACATATTGTCAACTTTTCAATTGCTTAACATTTAATAATATTTAAGCAATAATGCCCGCCCAAAAGAGGGTATACCACGAGTGTATTGTGCATTATCAAGTGGTATACCCAACTTCGGCGGGGGTTATTGCTATTATATTATACCAGTATATTGACAATTCGATAAAACTCGTGAAAAAGAGTTGACTTGCATCTACTATAAGATCACGATTATGGCCCTTGAACATGAATATTTATAAGAATAGTATGTATTCTACACATACTATTCTTTGCATTACATATGCAACACAGTTCAAACAGTTTAAATTGAATACAAACTAATTTTTATTCCTCGTGAAAACGAAACGTATCCACGTAACAAAAGATGACCTTTTACTGACTGCATCAACGCCATTTGAAATACAGGGTTGTGTACAGTTTGGATCATTTAAACAACGGATTTCCCACGTTTTCATTCCGTTTTTTTGTACAATTTGGACTGTAATTTTCCCATTGAAAGTACAGTTGTGAAACAAATCGGTTTTCTGACTGTGGATATTTGACGTTCAGCGATAATTGGTTCGATCAGTTTTTCAGTTTGTGTGCGTTATCATGTATCAGTAATGATCTAGTCAATCAACTTACCCACTGATAATTGTTCGTCATGATTGGAAATAGACCAGTATGTTTTAGCCACATTATCGCCTTTAATACCATACATTGATTCGATGAAGTGACCCAATGGCGGTTCCATCTTGACAACATACCTAAAACAATATTATAATTTACCAGCGACCCTACTGTCTTATCTTATACTGTCTTGTAAGTCTTATCGCGAATCGTACTCTCGATTTGACATATTGTGGCGGTATGTAAGCTAAGGGGTCAAATGGAACTGGTATCTTACAAGTTGGACGTGAAAACTGTTGTATATCCGTAAGTTGACTCAAATAATAAGTTTTGTTACCACAGTGGTGTCATTACCATAATCACGCGTGCTATTCTCACAATTTGTTGTGAAATAATGTCACGATTGATCTATGGGAACTCGTTAGAAGTGAGTACAATCCGATTGAACATTGTTTATTATTGATTGCAACTTTCCCTGAAAAATTGTCTGCATAAAATTCTGATGTACTCGCATTTATTTTGATATCATTATAGTAAATGAACTCAAGTACGTCAACTGGAAACTCAATTTTTTTATTGGAAAATTTACTATAGCGAACGTCGACACAGGCATATGTTGTATGAATATTGTGCAGGATTTGTAAACGGCCAAGAAACCACAATGTACAGTGGAAGATACACCGACATTTCCATTTGTCGTAAATATTTCCATCACCATGTCAATGATCATTGCTTGGAAATGTGCATTGTGAACAGAGAGAACTCTAAACTGCCAGTTATCGAGAGTTACACATGACTTGTTGTGTATACCACAAAAGTGACAGAGACTTTTTTCCCGTCGTTCGGCAAAGAGCTGTGTGTTGGATTCGAGACTGCATAGTCGGTTTCGAACATATAATGTGTTTAATGCGACTCTTATGCACCGAAATGCTAGAAATATTATTGTATTAACTACATGCATAGTTAAGTGGTGATTTTGTGTTTTGTATTATTGTTCTTGACAAAGTGTTTTATGCAGACAGAAGTATGTCTGGTTTAGTCAGGGACTGACTACTGATATTTAAGGGTAATTACTACTTTAAAAAAAATAGATTAGTCCGAGAGTTATGGTTGCTGAATGAAGGTTTCACATTCAACACATGCATTGTAGTTGAATGTCATAGTACCACTGACTAAGCGCAATTTGACACTATCGACATAGCAACAATATAGATTACTTTTTGTAAAGCTAAGGTTCACAACATGAATAGTATTGATTTATAGGTTTAAGGGTTACTATTGTTGTTTGCTTATATGTGTCATTATTATCTATGTCATTGGAGCAGTGTATCTATCATTAATGTTGTTGATGTTATTGTTACTGGTTATCCCGAAGATGTACATAGATTTGAATTTATTTAACCTGTGTCTTGCTTTGTGTTCAACTGTATGATATACAGTGTACATGGTCACATGAAATCACAACTCATTGGTATTTCCTCGTTACCTGCCTGAGATATTTCATTTGGAACCAATATCTCTTGTATATACTGGTTAAACTAGTTGCCTTACTAAAGGAGTTAGAAATATTCAAAACGTTTTCCTTTGTTGATGGTAATGTGAGTAGTGCTATAATTGACATTTCTAAAAAATATCTTTCAGGATGACCATTGTGAAATAATAGTGACTGGTAATCTCAACCAGCTTATTCCATACTGACTGTCGTGTCTTGACAACAACACAGAATGAACTCCAATATAAATGATAACATCAGGCGAGTACTGGGACTTCTATAGTTGTTACCCAAGAGCATAGCTGAAGGAAATGTGTAGGCAATAATGGTCATTGCAATTTATTCAGGGATAACAATTGTGGGAACAGATAAGTGGATTTAGAGCCACGACATGTCTTCACCAGGTGTTGGAGCTGACGAGCCATGGTATGACTGATAATGGATGGGAACATTTGAAGAGCTTGAAGTGGTAGGAAAGAGAGGAAGGGAAAATCTTTCAAGCTCATACCTTCCCAGGGTATTAACTGCTACAACTGCAAAAAGGGCGACCATTTTCTAGGTATGTGCTTTAGTCAGTGAGGGAATTCGATTGGAAATGAGCTTGTCACGTACCACTGGGATGCAGATGCGATTGGTTGAAAACATGCTTGACTGTAATCGATTATTTTTCTTCAAAAGTAACAATAGTTGGTGGGAAACAACTTGAAATGGGTATACGTCAGCCATATTGAGGCACACCTCCAGCATTTAATGGCAAGGATTGTACCACCATTGCAGATGTCCACCCAGACGGCCCGGGCTCATTAGCATAGTTTATATCATCTGATGCGCGACCATTACATATTTAATGCTAGGTGTAAAGCATAGAGACACAGTTTTCATTTGACATGAAATATAATGTTATTTATTTTATTAAATGCCATGTTCTGCATACTAGTACATGGACAACCTAGATGAGCACAAGTTTTCGAAAACCATGTGTTTGTATATCACATGTTCACATACATCACTATATTTCGATTTAAACAAAATTCACGTGATATATCAAAATGGTTTGGTTATATTGATTAATTACAAAATGGTTTAATATATTTTGGTATAATAAAGCATCTTGTTGCATATTGGTGAGTGACTGATTAGCTGTCTGTATGTCTGTCGTCTATTGTACATCATGAATTGCTTGGATACTTCGTGGTCCTCTCTCAGATTTGTAAATGTCGTGATGATATCAATAATTGTCATTTTTAGCGAAAAAAGTTTATTTTTGACTTATTCTTAAAAACTATTAGCATAATTGCCTTGATATGTTATATGTAGATAACTACCTGATTTTGTTATAATATCATAAATTTTCTACTTTTTAGCAAATGTTTTGGGTCAAAAAAGCTATTTTCAACTTCTTGAAAAAGACAAGCAAAGTTACTCTAATACGTTTTATGTGGGTACGTTTTGGATGGGCTGCTATTTGATTTGAATACTTCTTGACGATATCTTGATTTTTGGCAAATATTGTTGTAATTTTTAGTAAAAATGCCATTTTTGACTTCTGCTTGCAAACCACTACTTCAATTGATTTGACCTCTATTAGTTTAATTTTATTTGTGACATTTTAGGGAAACACTCCGCTAATTCACGGACATATCCTTCAGCCAGAATTGATAAATCCACTACTTGGGTATTATTAAAGTTATCCCTATCAGTGATAAAATCTAAATACAGGAATGGAAACACATATAATAAAATATAAGCAAAGGCAAGACTATTTGTTTCCCTACTATGTTGTTTATGTAACTATGCATGCACTTATTATTGCAATGCTTTGTTGAAACAGCGGAACTATCAGCTCGATTTCATAATTTTTGTTCACAGTAATTTACATCCATTAATGAGATGCTAAATGTTGAGTTGGGAGTTGAAATTTCCTCATGGTCTGATGAACATGACACATTGCATTGTGTGTTTCCAATGGTGTTCAAGCATGTTCCTTTTTCTACGTTAATTTTTATAGCTCGCAAGTTTTACAAAGTTTGGCTTTGTGATGGTAATTTATGGGTGGGTGGGTGGTTTACCTCATTGTACTTAGGTCAGTTACAAGGTAATTATATTAATCGTTCTAATTACACTATAATTAGCCCATTTGCATAGTTACGACTGTCAAAACTAGCCTCTCTATGATAGTATTATATCTATTATTTAATGAAACAGGTTCTGTATACATTTGCAATTTGTGGCAAGTGTAACATGATAGTTGTTTCTGAAACGCTTACGAGATTGGATAACATCAAGTGGTTTATATCTGCTTTAACAATTCATTGTCAATGAAACTGAAGAAAATGTTGTTCATGTCTTCTTATCTGATTACAAATTAAATTGGTATGGTCATGTATTGCTACGTGCACAATAAACCAATAAAAAATGTATAACACAGGTGAATTTGCTATCTAATATAATATAATATACAAAACCTAATCGTCCATGACAGTTGGTCTGACATATGACCTCACTTTCCCGCAGTGGACGGAGTGGTATACAATTTATTGTAGAGAATGGTTGACTAGAATGATTTTTATGTCACATACACACGTGCAACCTTGAGCAACGCAACTAACGCTGGTGTGCTGGTCTATTTTGAAATAGGGTGAGGTATAAATTGCCTAGTACGTGATAAGTACGTGTTTCTCTGCTTATACTAGTGAACATACATACATACAAAGTTGAATTTTCCATCTAATATAATATTCAAAACCTCATCATCCGTGACAGTTGGTCTGACATATGACATCACTTTCCCGCAGGGGGAGAACTGGTATACAATTGGTTGTTAGAGAGTTGTTGACTAGAATATAAATGCTTTACACAATTGGTCCTTTGAGAAATGATGAATGGAACAGACCATTTAATTCGTTAAAGTCTAGCAACTCGGACGGTAGTTACCGTAACAGCCTATTTTGAGTTTACTATAACTGAGAACCAGCCATTTAAATACCATTAGCGTTGTCATAGTCAAACTTCAACTAGCAGTAACTAGCACAAATTAATCGTGATTATCGTGATTATGGTTGATAGGTATATGTCATTCATTATAAAAAAAAAAAAATAAGCCATATTAAAGACTTCCTAATTAAAATTATTAAATTAAAATTAAAACACAAATAACAACTCACTTGAAGTCTCCATGAGAAAAGATCTTAAGACCTTGCATGATACTATATAGATTATATCCAGAGGCTACATAAAAGCTGAATGCTCCTAATTTGTTGTTATCATCAAGAACATTAATCACTGATATGCTCATGGAAATTAAATCACCACCCTCGTTATGATCAAACAGCTCAGGAATGTCCGACTTCTCTGAAAATAAATAGAACAGTATAATAAAGTGTTCAAAGCTATCAAAAGATAATTAAATTAAAATAAAATACTCTTTAAGTTTGGTTTAGCACACCTTAATTGAATCCAAAAACCTATAAAGCCAGTGATTTCGGGACAGGTTAAGAAAAGATAGAAAGCTTGCTATAATTTCTAATTCAGTCTGTGTTGAGGTTAAATGATAATGGATAAACAAACGGACAGCATCATTGTAATTGCAGGCTTTAGAATTATCATCGGCTAACTGTTTCTTGGTCAATCAAGTTACCCATACGACCTGCAGTATAATTACCCATGTAGTTCATTCATGCTAGGTCTCGCAGTCCGGCAACAAAGTTGTTGTAGGTCAAGCATAAAACGTACATGCTAAATCCTGTGCAAGAAAACTGCCTTACTTATTGTTGAATAGTGAGATTTTGCCTGCCTTTGTTGGTATGTCATCATGCTAAATCAATCAAATAACTGTATTACCTGCAATGTGCTTGTTCATTTTACCCAACGCGTCTTCAGTCATCAAGATATTTAATGGAATATATAACCACTCAGTACTTCCGTGAAATGTAGTGATGAATAGAGTAATAGTCTATTATAACGGGAGTTATTGGCCATAGAGGGCATAATTCCAATCATTTCGTTTCTCCCAACATAAAAACAAATAATCTATTGCTTTGATACTTTGAGGGCTCATCATTAGCTACATTTTGTTGTAAGAAACTTAATTTTAAATTGTTGAATGATTTAAGCAGAAACACAAGAGACATTTTGAATATTTTATAGTGTATAACACAGTCAACATAAATTATCTAATTGATTAGCATTTAACATTAGTTAAAATTGATACAAAACCATTACGCTTTTTTATTTCTTTTATAAAATATGATACTATCGTATGATACTATCTTTTTTTTGGTTAATGAGAGAATCGTTGGTATATTTGGTCCTGTTATAGATGAAAAGAAGTACACAATAATGAATGAATACTCTAGACAGCTAAGTTCACTAAAGCTGGGTCATAACGGGAACAAAGAGTAACTGTCTATAGATGATGATGCATTTTTATCTCACATACATACATGCAACCTTGAGCAACGCAACTAACGCTGGTGTGCTGGTCTATTTTGAAATAGGGTGAGGTATAAATTGCCTAGTACGTGATTAGTACATGTTTCTCCACTTCTAATAGTGAACATACATACATACATACATACATACATACATACATACATACATACATACATACATACAAAGTTGAATTTTCCATCTAATATAATATTCAAAACCTAATCATCCGTGACAGTTGGTCATATGACCTCACTTTCCCGCAGGGGGAGAACTGGTATACAATTTATTGTAGAGAGTTGTTGACTAGAATATAAATGCTTTACACAATTGGTCCTTTGAAAAATGGTGAATGGAACAGACCCTTCAACTCGTTAAAATCTAGCTACTTGGACGGTAGTAAACAGCCTGTTTGGAGTTTACTATAACTGAGACCAAAACAGCCACTTAAATACCATTAGCGTTGTCATAGTCAAACTTTAACTAGCAGTAACTAACACAAATAAGGTGTAAGTGTTATTCAGGTTGGTAAAAATATGTCATTCGTTACACAAAATAAAATATGCCATATTAAACAGACTTCCTAATTCAAATTATTAAATTAAAATTAAAACATAAATAACAATTCACTTGAAGTCTCCATGAGATAAAATTACAAGACCTTTCATCCAGAGGCTACATAGAAGCTGATGCTCCTAACTTTTCGTTATCATCAAGAACATTAATCACTGATGTGCTCATGAAAATTAAACAGCTCAGGATTGTCTGACTTCTCTGAAAATAAATGAAACAGTATAATAAACTGATCAAAAGCTAGATATTTAAATTAAAATAAAATGCTCTTTTAGTTTGGTTTAGCGCACCTCAACAACAAAAGGTGAACAATGCACATGACCCATCAGTGTATTCTCCAAGGGGTCGCTTTGGCACTTTTCCGGGGACACCCCTTTTCATTAACCAATATACAAAATGTGCCTATACAGTTCACGAAAAAAAACGATAAAACACAATTACAGATCAAAATATATAATAAAAGGCTCCTACTCTTTTACGGGAATTGTTTGACAGGATTTAAAAAATGCAATATCCGACATAATGTGTTGTAACTGCTCGATTATTTCTTCACATTGAAATATATCATAGCATGTCTAAATAACAACTAATTCATCGCAAAATAATCGGTGTTTATAACTTTATACATAATATATTCTTAGTATTTGAATAAGCTTACACGTCACGTCTTGAATTTTCAAGGTGTAATGTTCCAGCTAACTGCAGCCACATAATAAAATATACCCGGAACTGTAACCAAGGAACTCAGCATGTTTGAAATTGATTCGGTTGGCAAAAACGTAAACAAATGACGTCATATTGCAACATCCTATTGAGTCAATAGCAGCCTTGCTACCTAAAGTCACAATGCAGTCAGACCTAGTGTGATTGCGCAGTTATATTCCATAACAAGACATAATGGCTGGAAAATTTATCGTTTTCCTTCTGATAACTCTCGGTTCCTTGAACGTTGCAGAGAAGGTTTGTGGTAAGTCTGTACCTAGGCAAGGTCTATTGTCTGATTTAATGCGTACTTCGAAGCTGTATGCGAATCTGATTTTGAAGAACTGTGGTCAGTATCTTCGTACGAGTTACTATCAATTTGGTTTTAGAAAAGGTCATTCCAACCGATATGTGTAATTTTTACCCAAAGAAATGATCGATTTCATGAACTTGTTTTGCAAGTTATTGCATGGAAGTGTTCTAATTGTTATGTAATCGAATAATAATCAACATTTTAACGTACGCTGGGGATTCAAATTCTCTAAAAGATTTCATATTTAAATGGTACTAGGCAAGGCAGTATTCTATCACCACATCTGTTTAGTTCTTGCATAGATGAACTAAGCAACTAACTCGGCGATATGGGTGTTGTGTGCCATTTATCTTGAAAATGTCTTAAATGTCTTCTGTGACTGCGAAAGTTCGCAAAACAATTTTTCCTAATTTCTTATTATTATAATTTAACTTTAAAAAATCACCACAGCTTAGCCAGTTTAACAAACCATTATTGACCAAAGTTCTGTTGACAATTCAGTTTTCAGTTGTTGACCAGATCAACGTGATCTTAATGAATTCAAAATTGCTTTTTTTTTCAACCAAATGCATGTATATAATGATATATATATATAGGTTTTGATTCAAGTCACCAATTAAAATTATTGTTTTTATTCACTCTGTTGCTTCGATTTGTTTTCAGGGTGTGGAGTTGATTCTTTATCAAATATGTGTGATTTGTTTGTAATTTTTTGTAGAACAACGCTTTTTGTACGTATGGCCGTGTTTCAAATGCACGTACTCCGATCACTTTGTAGTCTTTGACTCGCACTCAGGTGTCAAATTTCATGTGACTTAATTAATAGCTCAGCTGGTCATATATCGAAACAACAAAGGACTTTTGTTGCGCAGCACCTCATAGTCGAATTATCATCCGGGTGTATTTACTTCCATGTTACATGTTAAGGCGCACGTGCACCTACAGCTAATACCAGCAAGTCGGTGACCCGAAACTATTTCAGTGAAACCAACCATTCCATTTTATATTCTAATGGTATGTTGCATTTCAAGTTGGCAGTAGAGTACACCCTCAACATATCATAACAATAACAAGTCTAACAAAACGTAAATCCACGACACCAAAAAAGACAATGAGGGAAAAACAACATTGAATGAAAATTAAATGAATTCTCGCTTTATAGCCAACAACTTCGCGACCGAAACAACAATATCACAACTGAAATCAGACCGTACGACAGGTCGTGGAGTGTGTATGTTGAATCTACTGTGAGAGAAGCTTTCACAACTACTTAATATGCGCTATTTACCTATCAGTTGTATGCTCTGGTTTGTGCTCACAGCAAACATCTTTCATTTCTGTTATTGGTGTAAGCAGTTATGGATCTAAGAAAAACAACAAAACTACTCATCGTTACGGTTGATATATACCCGTACTGTACTGTACTCAATTGTACTGTACTTTGTGTCATCACCCAGTGAACCTGTACGACACATTGACATCTAATAACAACCGACGAGCGGCCATTATGTTTGTTATTTTTAATCGTATTGAATTTTATTGGAATTGAATATTAATAGTATTTTATTTATTTGTTATTTTTGCGTGGTCAATGCGAATAAATTGTTTTGGCTTATAATATTCATTTTACTAGTTCCGTTCACCTTGCAGGGCCTGATACCAGTGATGAATTGAACCGATTGGCTGAGAATGCAT